CAATAATAATCATCAGGACAGTGAAGGTAAAGGGTATAAGATGAATAGTGACAATAGTGGTAAACATGAGATGAAGAATTTAAGGGGAAAAAAAAGAAGATGAAGAAGATTAAGGTGATCTAAGGTGAATAGTGAATAACCAGAGGCCAAAAGCTGCCTTGCGAGCACACTTCCATGATTCCGTCCATATTCATTACACAACCGCGTGGCTATCAAAGGACACGTGGATCTGTCGTGCGCTAAGGCGAGTAGTGATTACGAGGGGCCAAAACCTGTCTTGCGTGCACGATTCCATGATTCTGTCCATATTCATTACACAACCGCGTGGCAGTCAAAGGACACATGGATCTGTCGTGCGTTCGTCTTCTTCACCGGTGAAGAAGGTAATAATCCTTCTTCCCCCCCCCCCCCCCCCCCCTTTCATGCTTTGCACCCCTCTTGCAGTGAAGAAGATAATCCACTAAAGAACGAGTGACGCATCGAACGCGCAGCGGTGGTGCATGTACGTAATATGATGATGACGACGAAGGCCAAGAGTCGAGACGAACTCAACCTTGAAGGACAGGGGTGCAAAGCATGAAAGGAGGGGGAGGGGGGGGGGGAGGAAAGGAACGCGCAAACTATGCGCGTGGTGAGTTGTGACTCTCTCTCTCATTCCAGCGTCGCACCTCTGCTGTTCCTCTTCTCAGGGCGTAGTCACACTAGCAGTATCTCGAATGTATCTGACCGCGTTTACGGCCATACCTGGATGAATCTGGCCGCAATTCCGTCCAGGAATACGTAAAAAAAGTCGTAGCCATGCCAACACACTGATGTGTTCGGATCTCACTCCAAACTGTGAAATAGGCGTATGAGTTGTGGTAGGTAGATGGTGAAGGAGAATTTTTTTTTTTTTTTTTTTTTTAAAGAGTGAAGGAGAAATTGAGAGAATAGTATATAGCTTAGAAGAAGAAAAGAGGGGAAAAAAAAAATCAGTAGCACAAGGTGCTTCTGTGCTATAATCGCCTACAGTAATTTTCAAAAGCCTGTGACACGTTAGCAGCGTTTGCAACCATCCAATTGCATCTTTTTTTTTTTTTTTTTTGCAATTGCATATTTTTCATGCGAGAGTTGGCGACGGGCGATGGATTGCAATACTGTCACTTTCTTTTTCTTTTCTTCCTTTTTTTTTTTTTGTGATCCACGGCCCTGGGATATCACCGTCACACCGTGGAACTGACCGGGGGCCAAGTCCCACTACCGGTAGCCATTGAGTGTTCGTCATCGACTGAATCTGGACGTGTTTGTGGAGACGTGTAAAAAAATTGCGTTCAGTTTCCTCAACCGCACATAGGGTCTCGTTAGACACTCCTAAAAGTTCCTGTTTTTAGGATTGCGTCTTGGTTGCACGCAATCCTAAATTGGACGCGGGAATCGAAAATGTGAAAACGGCGTTAGGAGTCGTCCTAAAAGATTTAGGATTCCCCAGCCAAATCGTCCTAAATTTTCCAGTAGCCCCGGACCTACTGAAAAATTTAGGATTCCCGCGTTTCACGGAGTCGTCGCGTTGCGAGAATGACATCGTCGACATGGAGGCGCTGGTCCAGTAGAGGTCCGTCGGGTCGGTGGGCGGACATCGGAGGTTTTCTGCAGGTCGACGACGGCAACGGCCCCCACCGGTAGCCGTTGACCAGTGGGGTGGAGCGCGCGGGGCGAAGCGTGGCCTGGCGGGCGGCCGTTGACCGTTGGCTCGGGTGCGGGCAACGGAGGAGTCCCCAGACGTGCGCCGGACGACACTCGGAGGCGGCGTGGGCGCCAACGGTCGGTTTTTGAATCGCAGGCGCGAACCTTTGTCGTCTTCGTTGGCGGTCGACGGCATATGAAGGTCCAGCGGCCTTGTCCTCGGGCTTGCGAGGAAAAAGTTGAGCAGAATGTCACGTGAAAGGTCGCCTTTTGACGTCGAATTCATGGCAGACATGCAGAGGAGATTGCCTCTGCTGCTTCTCGTTGTGGTCGTCTTCGTGTTTGTCGTCTTCCTCTACGTGTGCTTGTCGTGCCGGCCGTGGAAGCAACGTCCCAAGCGCAGGGTGTCAGCGAAAGGCGGTGTGCTTCAAGAGGGACGTCCCATGGCGGGCATACAGGCGCGCGCTGTTCTGCCTGCAGCTGAGGGTGGAAGAAAAAGTGCGACGACGGAGCCTTCACGGCGGTACGACCCGTCCATGTACAGCCATCTGCCATTGTGGGAGACGCCGCTGCCTCCCTTGGACGAGGAGCCGGAGGGGGATGAACTTCCAACGTTTCCTCTCGGCAGCGTGTCGACGCAGCTGTTGTTGCAGACGGTGCTCGCAGGTGGGTCGGCAAGCAACGGACGCGGCGAGTACACGACACTCCTGCAGCAAGGCTTGGGAGACGACGACACGACAACGGGGGAGTTGATCTCCGTTTCGGGTTATGTTCTGGCGACGGTAGGGAGCCGAGCCGCACGTTCATCATCGACGCCGATCCTTCACCACGTGGCGTACAACAATCTGGAAGTCGGCATACAAGGCAGTCCACATTTGTGGCGGTGCGTCCGTTACAGGCGGTGTCGGGCCATCGGCAGCAGGCCGGCATCATGGATCGAGTGCACCGTCCGCCGATCGGTTGACAACCACCTGCCCCGCACGCGACGGAGTTGCAGTCGGGTCCCTGCGCAGCGGCGGTACACTTCATTCGATGCCCAAAACCATAACGCCGGCCCAACTCGACCTCAGGGACGACGACACGTGCAGTCCAGCGGTGCGTCCAACACCCAGTGTGGAGAACATCACACGAGGAGTGTCAAACATGCGGGCACACAGCGATGGCGGCGACGACGATGGTGGTGCAGGTGACGATGCCGACGAACGATTCGGGGACGACGTGGAGGCAGGGGACGACGACGATGACATTCCTATTCGCCCTTTGGGGAAGACGGGCGGGAGGGGTAGAGGACGCAGCAGGGGTGCTGTTCGTGATCGATCCGTTGGCCGTGGGGGCAGAGGTGGCGTCAGCGACGACAGCGGGGAGTCTGTGACGTACTGGACCCCGGAAGAGCAAATGCAACTGGTGAGATGCAAGCGGGAGCAAGAGATGCACCTCGCCGGTCTCGGTCACAATTATGGGCGGATGCGGACCAAGGAGTGGAAGTGGGACGACATTGCCAAGCGCATGGCGAACGCGGGGAGGCCTAAAGAAGCGGAGGACTGCATGAAGAAGTGGGACAATATCTTCCAAATTTACAAGAAGGTGCAGAGGTTTCAGAATGCGAGTGGCCGGCCAGATTTCTTCCGGCTATCGAATGAAGAAAGGAAGGAGCACAACTTCAAGTTCCGGATGGAGAGGGCGCTGTACAACGAGATCCACGCAGGCATGGTGGGCAACCACACAATTTCCCTCCCAACATCGTCGACACTGGAAGTCCGGACGGGGTGCAGCTGCCCAGGCGAGGAGCGGGTGCTGGGTAGTCTGTTGGTAGTGAGGGCGCTGGTGAAGGCTTCCCTGAAGAACGTTCTACTACGAGGGACTCCGACAACAACGCTGCCAGCGGGGCTGGGGGCGAGAAGCGGAAGAATGCGCGTCAACAGGCGTTTGAGTCGATTGCTGATGTCATGGACCGCCATGGCGAACTGATGTCGTCGACGATCGAATCGTCTAGCAAGCGGCAATGCAGCATATTCACGAGGCAATGCGACATACTGGAGCAGGAAGTTGCAGTCCAGAAAGCGCACTACGCGGCATCCGATGAGACGCAGAGGATGATGTGCCACGCGCTTATGGAGATCGCTGCAGCCATCCGTGGTCGGTCGGCAATGTAGGGCGCATGGTGTGTGTGTGGTGTGTGTGTGTGTGTGTGCGTGTGCATGTGTGTGTGTGTGTGTGTGTGTGTGTGTGTGTGATAATGAGTGTGAG